TATCTTCAATTAGATCAAAAATATAGTCATATATATCATAAAATCGGATTTGGGTTGATCTAGTATGATAAAGGTAAGTTTCCATAAGATAAATATGAAAAAACCCTGATTTTGGCTCTTCCTGACGCTCGGACTCGCCGAATACCCACTCTGGACTCGCCGAGTCCACTATGGGACTCGCTGAGTCCATGACTCAGAATCACAAAATTCGAATTTTGCAGGTAAGATTCAAACAATCAAGCAACAATTTAATAGAAACCAATCTAGTCTCTGATACCACTGATGGTTTTGGCCATATGAACATTCATATGTGCACATAAAAACCCTAATGCTTGGATCTAGGTTTCTCTATTAAACATGCATTGAATCCAAGACTTCTAATGGATAATTAGGTATAAGAACAATACAAAACCAGAGTTAGAAGCTTACCTTGAAACAATTGTTTGATCTTCTTGTTCTTGGAGCTTTAGAGTCACAATTATCACTCCTCTAATGGCTTACAAACACCAACTAGCAAAGAGAATGATTTGAGAGAGAGGAGAGAGAAGGAACACGGCCAGGGTTTCCTTACTTTAGAAGAGGTGCCGATTTCCTTATCCCAAGGGGTCTATTTTTACTTGTAAGGCTCCTAGGGTTTCACCCTTAAACCCTAATTGGATAACTTAAACTCTAAGCAATCCTAATCCTTTCCTTAGATAGGCATTGGACGAATTTGAGGCTTATCCTAGCCTAGAAATCGTCCAACCCTCATCCTTTAAGGATTTACAGCTCAAAGTGTAACTATCAAACAATTGACAGTTTATACCCTCTTATTCAATTAATCTCTTTAAGTCACCAAATTAATACTAATTAATTTATGACTTATATTAATCAAATAACAATATTATTATTCCTTATATTATTCTCATAATATATTAATAATATCTATTCTCTCGTGATAAATCGAATCAACTCGTCGAATTCTACCTCTTCCAAAATTCGGACAACTCGTCTCAACTCATCGAGTTCCTCCATCGACTTGTCGAGATCCTTAGAAACCGTGCAAAGGCCCTGGACAGCTTGCCGAGTTGCCAAGCAACTCGTCGTGTACATGTAGAATCTATGATCGGGAAAAACCCTATCCACTCGTCGAATTACCCTATCAACTCGTCGAGTTCATGCAGAAACCAGAAATGGGAAAACCCTCTTCAACTTGTCAAGTTGGCTATCCAACTCGTCGAGTTCCTTCAGTCCACTTCTCATTCAGTCGATTCTAAGCCAAACTAATGCTCTAGAGGTAAATCTAACCTCCTAGAGCATACTTTCCATGTAAAGTGGCAAACATGCAAGTCCTAAATGCTAAAAACTAGGCTAAAGGAAGAGTTATGCCATGGAGAAGGGCTTCAAGCTTCAAAACCTTGAGACTTTATGAAATTAGAGGATTTGGAGAGTCCATATCTGAAGTTGTAAACTTTAGATCGTGTTCCACACAAGAACTAGTGCATAAAAGTGCTAGAAATGGCCCTAAAGCTCAACGTGAAGAGATCTATCCATAAAATGCTCAAGGTAACGACTTCTACCTTTTAAATGCTGCCAAACTTAAGTAGGTGCTGGATCTACATTCCCTTCCTCGTTCCTTGCTTCCATCTTTCAATATATGCACCACAAATCAACCTTTAGCTTCACAATACTCAAGAAATGGACTTAGGTGGCTAGGGTTTTGCTTCTGGACTTGAGAGGGCAGTAAGAGGTTGAGAGAGAGGTTTAGTGTGTCTATAAACAGGGACAAAGCCCGAATTTAGGGTTTCCCAAACCGTGACCAACTCATCCAGTTGGTCTCCCCAACTCGTCGAGTAGGTCCTTCTACCCACATCCTTATACTTGCACCAACTCGTCGAGTTACCCCTAACTCAACGATTTGCCTTATAAACTTGGGGTTTTCTTTCCTTTCTTGGTCTTCTGGATTTCGGGTGTTACAAGTTGTGGTGAAAGTATCGAACTCGTTGATAACCAAAGTCAAACGCTTATCCTTCATATCTTATGATCCTTCCAACAGGTCCTGGAGTGTGTCCCAAATCTCTTTAGCAAATTTGCACAACTTAATGTGCTCAAAAAGAAACATGTGGAGGTACTGGAGTGAGAGGTGCTGGACGCTGATTATCTAAGATAAACAAAAAGATATGTCCTAGAAACATTACATCAACTAAAAGATAAGAAATCATAAACACATGAAAAGATTCTCAATCTCGGATCTTGACATCATCTCGGAATGGCCTTCACTTTGCACTCCATCTCTGACTTCGGATCTTCAATACATGTGATTGCTCGAGATTCACTTTCAGGTTCCAACATTAATAGTTCTATGTGGTTTGTATGCGATTATATGATGAGTTGAAATATACACCAGGGCATGGCCCACTATATCATGTTGGGTTGAAATATATCCTAGGGCGGGGCCCACTACAGTATGATAGGGTTGAAACAAACCCTAGGGCGAGGCCTATATGTGTTGTTCGGGTTGAAATACACCTAGGGCGAGGCCCATATGTACAGATCAGATTGGATTTATATCTTAGGGTTAAAACCCAGTTGTATGTTTGGTATGTGGTACTTTGGGGAACTCACTAAGCTTTATGTTTATAGTTTATGTTTATGGTTTCAGGTACTTTCAGTTTGAAAGGGAAGGGACCGGCATGATGGCACAACATCCTCCTCTCATGATTTCTGCATTTGATATATTTGTACTCTGAAGTTTGAATATTATGACATGGGTTGATTTTTGAACAATTAATGAATGATTTGATAAACTTTTAAAGGAAAAAATTTATTACTGTTTTTGGGATGTTACACATTCAACTATGAATATTAGACAATTATTTATAAAACATCATTCATGGTTAAATATTTAATTCATATAATCTGATGTATAACTAATTTTAAAAAGTATTCAACTATGTGTATAAGAAATGTTTATTCGTCAACATCACTCATAGTTGAATATTTAGTTCGCAAATATGTAGTTTATTATTTACGTGGAGTCAATATAGAATATATACATCGAATTATCTAGGTTTAGTGTTTCTGGTGGATGAATTTAGGGATGTTCCTTTGTTAAACTATGAATATTAAGATTTTCCAAACAAATTCAACTTTGAATAAGATATAAGTATTGATGAAACATCATTCATAGTTGAACATTAATATCATATAACCTAATGTATAATTATTTGCATGCATTCAACTGTCTTTATATATATATATATATATATATATATATATATATATATATATATATATATATATATATATATATATATATATATATATATATATTTTATAATCAACATTATTCATAATTGAATATTTCACTAGCATATATGTAGTTTCTTAGTTATCTAGAGCCAATATGGAACTATTTACATCAAATTGTCTAGGTTCAATGTTCTTCATAGATGAACTTGTTCACAACAAGAAATTTTTTCAAACTAAAGAAAAAACTATATACAACCTAATTAATGTAAAACTCAAAATAAAAAAGTTAAATATAAACAACATATATTAAAAGTGTAATTTGAATATATAACAAAATTGTAGAATACCTATAGATGTAGTGATTAAAGTTTTTTCATTTTTTGGATCTACGAGGTTTGGTTGCGTGTATATCGAACTCGTCTTCATAACCTTCATCGTTATCATAACACACATATAATTTCTTTTCTATTCTTTTGTTTTGTAGAATTCGATTCTTTCATGGCTAACCTATGAATGTTCCGCAAACCTAACATTCGAGGCTTCATTTTCTTCGTAAGAAACTTTGAGGCTACATTTTTTCATTGTTGGAGATTTTGATATTGTAGCTTTGGGAGAAGTTTTGAAGTGTGATGCAGTGTTCCCAGAATCAATCGAGATATTTAGGAAGAAACTATGACTAATCATTTTTTTTATTCTATAGAATTTATATAGATAGTTGTAGAGTTGTTTCTTGATTTTGGAAATGACCGTGGCTCAAAATATTAGGTATTTGATTGCAGAAAAAATTGGGTATTTTAAGAGTTAAAAAAATAGTTTTATAATTTGATCAATATTACAAAATTGTCACCGTTACTTTTAACGCATCTTTTTCATGGATCTAAAATCAACTCAAAATTTTGTAAATATAGTCAATATTTTTTTGTGTAATGCATTTTCTTAAATTATTTGTACTTAAAAATATTAATAAATAGTAGTTATCCTTTACGTGTAACTTAACCAAAATTAACAAATAGTAGTTAGAGAGGTTTTAACAAGAAGGTTAACCTAAAAATACTTATTAATTAAAATCTTATAATTTTCAGTTTATTTAAAAAATAGATAGGGACCTCACATCTGTTTTTTTTCATCTTTATCTAGACAAAAACTTAGATCAGGTCGCCCCACCGCCAATACTCAAAATTTTTGACCAGCGACGAATCATGGGCCAGTTCAGAAATTTCCGTCTCCGCCGCGGAATCGCCACTGGCTTCAATTCTTTAACTCTTCACATTAAACATCATGATCCGCAATGTTATCTCTATCAAAATGTAGCATGATCTGATGGCTGCCGGTGTCAGAATCGTCGGAGTTGGTAACATCGGAGAAACGCCGGTGGAAGTAGAAAGAGAAGAAAGTCATGAAGAATAAATTATTTTTGTCCTCATGGGCTGACTGAGGAGCGGGTTTAGTTCATCATTTTTCTTTGATGCAAAGAATTATCGGTCCATCGAATTTTTACATCGACAAAGAAGTTTCACTTCGCAATGTTTTGTTAAACAATTTTTAATCTTTTTATCTTTTCGTTGAAACTCCTCAATTGCAACTTGCAAATTTTGGGCCCACAAATTTGTGGTAGGCGTTAATTTAGTCCACATATTCACTGTAAACAATAATTCAAATCGATCTCTGTTCATCCAATTCATCAACATCTCTTGATAATTGAAATCATTCACGCTTCATCCATTTCATCCACATCTATACTATATTCTCTGCTCTTATCATATTAAACGATGGCTGAAATCGTTCTTTCTGCCTTCTTGACAGTGGTGTTTGAAAAGCTGGCATCTGAAGCCTTGAAGAAGATTGTTCGCTCCAAAGGAATAGAATCTGAGCTCAAGAAATTGAAGAAGACATTAGACCAAATCCAAGATCTGCTTAACGATGCTTCCCAGAAGGAAGTAACTAATGAAGCCGTTAAAAGATGGCTGAATGATCTCCAACATTTGGCTTATGACATAGACGACCTACTTGATGATCTTGCAACTGAAGCTGTTCAACGTGAGTTGACCGAGGAGGGTGGAGCCTCCACCAGTATGGTAAGAAAACTAATCCCAAGTTGTTGCACAAGTTTCTCACAAAGTAATAGGATGCATGCCAAGTTAGATGATATTGCCACCAGGTTACAAGAACTGGTAGAGGCAAAAAATAATCTTGGTTTAAGTGTGATAACATATGAAAAGCCAAAAATTGAAAGGTATGAGGCGTCTTTGGTAGATGAAAGTGGTATTTTTGGACGTGAAGATGATAAGAAAAAATTGCTGGAGAAGCTGTTGGGGGATATAGATGAATCAGGGAGTCAAAACTTCAGCATCGTGCCCATAGTTGGTATGGGTGGAGTTGGCAAAACAACTCTAGCTAGACTCTTGTATGATGAAAAGAAAGTGAAAGATCACTTCGAACTCAGGGCTTGGATTTGTGTTTCTGATGAGTTCAGTGTTCCTAATATAAGCAGAGTTATCTATCAATCTGTGACTGGGGAAAACAAGGAATTTGCAGATTTAAATCTGCTTCAAGAAGCTCTTAAAAAGGAACTTCAGAACAAACTATTTCTAATAGTTTTAGATGATGTATGGTCTGAAAGCTATGGTGATTGGGAGAAATTAGTGGGCCCATTTCTTGTAGGGTCTCCTGGAAGTAGAATAATTATGACTACTCGGAAGGAGCAATTACTCAAACAGCTGGGTTTTTCTCATGAAGACCCTCTGCATAGCATAGACTCCCTGCAACGTCTATCACAAGAAGATGCTTTGTCTTTGTTTTCTCAACACGCATTGGGTGTACCTAACTTTGACTCACATCCAACACTAAGGCCATACGGGGAACGGTTTGTGAAAACTTGTGGGGGATTGCCTTTGGCTTTAAGAATACTTGGAAGGTTATTAAGGACAAAAACAGATGAGGAAGAATGGAAATCTCTGTTGGATAGTGAGATATGGAGTTTAGGAAATGAAGATAAGATTGTTCCTGTTCTTAGACTAAGCTACAATGATCTTTCTGCCACTTTGAAGTTGTTGTTTGCATACTGCTCCTTGTTCCCTAAGGACTATGAGTTTGACAAAGAGGAGTTGGTTCTGTTGTGGATGGCAGAAGGGTTTTTGCAACACTCTGCTGCAAGAAATTCAATGCAGCAGTGGGGTCAGAAATGTTTTGAAGAGTTGCTGTCAAGGTCATTTTTTCAACATGCTCCTCATAACAAATCGTTGTTTGTGATGCATGACCTCCTGAATGACATGGCCACATATGTTGCTGGAGACTTTTTTTCAAGGTTAGACATTGAGATAAAACAGGAATTTGGGAAGGAACCTTTGAAAAAGCAACGACATATGTCATTTGTTTGTGAGGATTATGTGGTTTACAAAAGGTTTAAGCCATTAAAAGGAGCTAAAAGTTTGAGAACATTTTTAGCATTGTCTGTTGGGGTGGTAGGAAGTTGGATAACATTTTATTTATCAAATAAGGTCCTGAATGACTTACTTCTGGAGTTACCATTGTTAAGGGTCCTAAGTTTGAGTAATCTTAGCATAAGTGAGGTACCAGAAGTCATTGGTAGTATGAAGCACTTGCGGTATCTTAATCTATCTCATACTGGAATCACCCATTTACCGGAAACTGTCTGCAATCTTTATAATTTACAGACGTTGATTCTTTCTAGCTGTTATAAATTGATTAAGTTGCCCGAGAGCTTCTCAAAGCTTAAAGATTTGCAGCATTTTGACATGATGGGTTGTTTCATGTTGAAGACGATGCCCTTAGGGATTGGTGAGTTGAAAAGTCTTCACACTCTCTCCAGTGATATTGGCTTAAAATTAACCGAGCTTAAGAACTTGCAAAATCTCCATGGGAAAGTTTGTATTGATGGGCTGGGAAATGTGGAAAATTCAGTGGACGCACGTGAGGCGAACTTCTCTCGAAAAAGGTTTTGTGAGTTAGTGTTGGATTGGGGTGATGAGTTTAATGTCCTTCGAACAAAATCACTTGAAAAAGAGATCCTCAATGAGCTGATGCCTTATAATGGTACTCTAGAAAAACTCAGAATTTCTTTATATAGAGGTGTAGAGTTTCCAAATTGGGTTGGGGATCCATCCTATCATCGGTTGACTATAGTGTCGATAGAAAGGTGTGAAGAATCAACCTCTCTACCAATGCTTGGGCAACTACCATCACTGAAGGAGCTGTTTATTGGTGGGATGAGTAAGGTGAAGGTTGTAGGTATGGAGTTTCTTGGGACCGATCTTGCATTTCCTTCACTTGAAATCCTAGAGTTTGATAGTATGTCATGGTGGGAGGAATGGTCAACAAAGAGTGGGGCGTTTCCTTGCCTTCAAGAGCTTTGTATTGAAGATTGTCCTAATCTGGTCCGGGTCTCCCTTGAAGCACTACCTTCACTAAGGGTTCTGAAACTAAGAAAATGTGGTCATGGTGTATTGAAAAGCCTGGTTGATATAGCTTTGTCAATCACCAAGTTGGAAATAGATGATATTTCAGGGCTTACTGACGTGGTGTGGAGAGGTATGATTGGGTGTCTAGGGGCAGTTGAAAAAATAAACATCATGAAATGTAATGAAATAAGATACTTGTGGGAATCAGAAGCAGAGGCAAGTAAGCTTCTTATGAATTTAAAGATGTTGAAGTTAAGAAAATGTGAAAATTTGGTGAGTTTAGGGGAGAAAGATAAGGAGGATAATTGTGGGAGCAGCCTAACATCTTTTAGTTGGTTGGGAGTATGGAATTGTAACAGCTTTGAGCATTGCAGTTGTCCTGATAGCATGGAGACTTTGGATATTTGGGATTGTGATTCAATTACATCCGTCTCCTTCCCAACAGGAGGAGGGCAGAAGCTCAAGTCACTTGTCATTTGGGATTGCAAGAAACTATTGGAAAAGGAGTTGGGAGGAAAAGAGAAGACAAGGTTTCTTATAAAATCAAAAATGCAGATGCTTGAATTTGTATTTATAGCTAATTGGCCAAATCTGAAATCCATCAGTGAATTGAGCTGCTTCATTCACTTGAACAGATTATATATATCAGAGTGTCCAGGTATGGAGTCATTTCCTGACCATGAGTTGCCGAATCTCACCTCGTTAACAGAACTAACAATTAAAAAGTGTACAAGTATGGATGCATCCTTTCCTCGTGGGCTTTGGCCTCCGAAATTGTGTCGGCTTGAAATAGGAGAGTTGAAGAAGCCCATCTCAGAGTGGGGCCCACAGAATTTCCCAACCTCACTTTCTCACTTAACATTGTATGGCGGACCATATGATGATGTGAAAAACTTTGCGCAGTTGTCCCATCTTTTACCTTCATCTCTTACTTCTCTTGGCATAGATCGATTTGAGAAACTGGATTCGGTTTCAACGGGACTCCAACACCTCACCTCCCTCCAACATCTCTTCATTTGCAACTGCCCAAAGACGGTGGATCTACCAGAAAAGTTGTTGTCTTCACTTCTGGTTTTGAGAATAGTAAAATGCCCAAATCTGAAAGAAAAGAGTTGCAAAGGAGGCTCCTATTGGCCCCTCATCTCCCTTATCCCCTACTTGGACATAGACGAGTAATTAAGTTTCATGTGAAGGTACACTTTATGCCTTTGACATCTTTTACTATGTGTAAGTTAAATGAGTGAATTTTCTCATTCAAACAGTTTATTCTTTTCATATTATCTCAATACATTAATATATGCATTTCATCCAAAATTCTACTTGTGTCTCAATGTCTGGTTGTTAACATGGATATGCACGTTGATTCATTGGATTTCATTGTTTCTTTTTTGTTGATGAAACTGATTAGGTTGTAACATGGAAGGGTCGCGATGGATTGCAAAATAAATTAAAATGACTAGTGAGTTAAGTACTTTGAAATAAAAAGAAAAAGTCTTAGATTTGAACTTGGATTGCTAATAGAATTATCGTTATTTGTTAAATATTTAGTACTTAAATTTGTCATGATAATGATGATAATTCAGTAACAGTATAAACAAATGATATGGATACTTTTTAAATCACGAACATTCAAACAGCTACCAGGGTTGTACCTATTTGATAATGTCAAGTTGTCAACAATTATGTTATTTATCAAGTGACTCATTTGACCAACGATTAATGCTAACTAAACGCATTAAGATTAAGTGGATGGAGCTTTAATTAAGAATCAGTATATTTGTGAAATTGTTATGAACAGAACTTTTTTATTTTTCAAGGTATAGATTGTCATATTCTATTTTTAAAACAATATGTCAATATTTGATTTAAATTTATTTATCTTGCTGTCAAATTAATATTGACTTGTTTTCTAGATTGGATTGAACCCAAAGAGAAGGAGAGCTTGTGCTTTTCAGCACCAGAAACCCCATGAAGCATGGTCAAGGAATTATTAACCGCACATTTGTTTGTATGGAAAGACTATGTTTCAGAGTTAGCTTGAAAGCAGAACAAAACAGAGAACTCCAACTGCTCTTCCAAGACGTTGATAACAGAGTCCATGTATTCTTGACTTTCATTGAAAACAAAGTCCATTTATCACTTTAGTACCTCATCTTGCTTTCTGAATAGATACATTTGCCAGCCAACAAAATGCATTTAGAATTTTGCTTTTTAATTACGACTCATTTTGATTTTTCTTTTTGCCGGTTTCTATTCTAGATTCTTGTATATTTCATGAAGAGATATCCCATGAACTCCATTTGTTATCTAGAAAGATTACGTTTAAGAGTTAGACTGAAAACAAAACCAAAACTAAAACAGTGAACTCGATCTGTTCTTCCAAGAAGTTGAAAACAAACTCCTTGTAACTTTGACTTGCGCTGGTAGATGTATAGCTTTAGTAACTCATTTTGCTTTATGATAAAGTTATTAGACAGCGACAAAATGCACTTTGAATTATGCTTCAATTTTTTACTCATTTTGGATTTTTTTGCCATTCTCCACTCTAGGTTCTTCCATACTTTCTTTGAGCAAACTAACTTTCATAATTACAATAGTATTTGATTGACACCTAATCAAACTACCACTGTAAGTCTATTGTAGACACCGGGTGGTTGTTTAATTGAGAGTAATGTGATAGAGAATATGATAAAGAATGGGTCTTATATAAAAGAGGGGAAAAGTGAAGGGACCAAATTGTAATATTTATATTTTCTGTTTTGCACCCGATCCCTAGGCTAGTATAAATAGCTGTAGTCTTAGGGTTATGGATCATTCAGTCTTTTCTATTTGCATTTTGAGTCTTCGGCATTAGCTTGGGCAGGGTTGTCCCTTTGAAGGGACTCTCTGATTAGGTCAGGAAGAACCATTTGGGTCTTTACTGAATTTGTTCTATTTTCATTTCATTCAGTAATCAAATAGCTTTCTAGATTCTACATATCCCATACTCTGGTTTCTATCATAATGTCCCTTAGGTACTCCATCATCTCATGTCTCTTCTCCATCCATTTCATCATAGCTTCTTCATTCATTTGCGAGGTCTGAAAACACCATTTTTCTTACTGTTAGTAACTGTACAGGAGGTCTCTTCACAGAATCAACAACTTTAAATCTAGAACCACCATTTTCTTTTTTACAAGTCTTCAATTCATCAAGGAAGGCCAAAATTATTGCATTAAGTTGAAATGCTAAATCAACTTTAGTCATGTGTTTACAAGTCTGTACATGATGTCTTCACCGAAACATACTAATAATTAGATGGCGAAGGTTGAAACACATACATAACTATTAATATAGAAGTTACATTTTTGTATGTTTTACACAACATACTCAATCTGTTACCAATTTACACCAAGTCCAATTGTATAAACTTATACTAAAATGTGTTCACCATGGAAATGAATTGATTTGGATTATAATTTGTTTGATGGAATCACCATAATGTCCTTTCTTTTAATTTTTATAAGGAAAATTTCATATATTATCCTTCTCAAGTTTATGTATTACATCAATATTCTTATATAATTTTAAATTATATATACATCATTCTAAAACTACAATATTTACATTTGTATCCAAACTCAAATTTTAATTAAAAAAAAACTAATTTAATATTAGAAACTTATCTAAAGTTCAAAATAAAATAGTATGATATTACTAAAATTACCTTTCTAAATAAAAGATTAAAATTAAACAATTTTAATTATAATTAATGTGATTAAATAAGGATTGATTTGCATCATTTCTTCCGACGTGCATTATTTCTTCCTGAGCGCATCTTTTTGCCTCGTAATCCTTTATATAGCGGTGACTTGACCTTGACCACACTTGACGCCTACCCATCCACATGAACAAACGCTATTTCTGTCTTTACAGGTCCTCAAGAATCCTCTGAAATCAACGATATCTTGTGTGATGGATTGGAGAGCTGAATAATCTGAAACTTTAACAGGACGATTTACCTGAAACCAGATGACAAGAGAGATTAAGAAGAGTAAGCAAAAAGAGTGCACTAATGTTGGCTAATTCTTGTAGAAACAAACTGATTTTAGTTGGTTTATCGGTTTATGCACTGCAAGTGTTTGTGAAAATGACTGAATGAGTCCTTCCAAGATCTTTATCAAGAATTCCATTCACAATTGTGGGAATTGCTGTGTTGATTACCGAATATAACACACTGCTCCATTCGGTTATGGTTGTAGTTAGAGTGAACCCGTGAAAGGTACATACCTTGAGGAAAAAAAATAATCAACTTTTGTTAATAATGTCAAAAATAGCAACCTAATTTGGTTGAATGAAGAAAAAAGTGAATGTCTGTTGTTATTATGTTTATATCAGAAAGGATATTTATCCTGTCTAATAATATACCAACATTAGTTTTCAGGTTAAATGTAAGAAAAAAGAAAGTGAATTTTCTTTGATTTGTTTATTATGGTCTATTGCATTTAGCTTTCTAAAAAGATAATGAAATATTGAAGGTAGTAGATAGAGTAGAGAGACTCACCAGAATAAGACAAGGACGAAAAGGGCATTTCTGTAAAAACTATATAGGATCATGTAGCCCACCTATTGGTAATTCCAATGATCATGGACTACCAAAACTGGACCCAAGAACCGGAACAGGCCCATGCAAAATCCAATGTCATGACAGCTTGGCGACCCTCTAGCCCACTGATGAGTAATGGTGGATTTGTCATTTGTATAAAACTTGACGAGGGTGAACTGTGTGGAAGGAGCTGAAGAGTAATGGTGGGCCATATGTCCCCCTTTTTTTTAATGTCTACCAAATACTGATTATCTTATTATTTTTAGTAAAAAATACAAAATACAATAGTAATATTTTGATAAGTAGTTTTCAAATTCAAATTGTTATCCTGTGCACGGTGGTTCAAAATTCAATGCGACTCTTGATTTAAAATTTAAATCATCCAAATTAAGCGCATGACTCACAAACAATCATCCTCTACAAACACAAAATATTGAAATGGTTTGTTAAAATGGACTCACTGTAAAAACATTTACAAATTAATATTGTTAGGATTAGTATGTCTATAAATATTTATTAACTAATAAATTAATATTTATTAATTTAAAAGGCTTCTAATACTGATTGAACTTAAGTTTTTATTATACTAAAGAGTATTGTATCCTAGGAAAATCCATGTACTATATTAATTAAATAAATCTAAAATATAAATTTATTGTACATTTGTACATAATATTAAAGCAATTTTATATACAGAAACATTTATCCATAAAAATAAGTGTAGGGTATGTTATTAGCCTTGATTCTTAGGGGTCATCTTTTGCACTATTGTATTTAATTAGTATTATATCAGTCCGTTGGACGATTTTTGATCTATGTAAAAACGACCATTATATCATTGACATATTTTTTTTTTTGGATTTTATAGCATCTTCGTGTTGTTTGTTTCCATGACTGACTGCAAGCATTAAAATTTATATTTGCAAAATGTAGCTTATATTGATATTTGATCTTGACTATATATATATTAAAAATAAAATGATTCAATATTAAAAAAAAATTAAATTGCCTCCTACCTTTTATGCTTACAAATATTCTTAATCACTAACATTATGACACGTTCATCATTCCACATTTCAATTTAATTTTATTTGATATATTCTTAATATATATTCTTAATGAGATAATTAATTAAATATGAAATGTTGACAGATGTCATAATTTTAATAGATAAAAATATTTGTAGCCATATATAGGAAACAATTTAATTTTGTTAAAAAAAATTATCAAAACTATAATATTTTATTTTTATTTTTATTTTTCAACTTTATCTAAACAAAAACGTAAAACAAGTGTCCCCACCGCCAATAATGAATCATGGGTCTGAATTTTCCGTCTCCGCCTCGGAATCGTCATCGGCTTCAATTATTTGTCTCTTCACATTAAACATCATGGAGTAGAAGACAGGTGGAGTAATCTGGTCCGCAATGTTTATCTCTATCAAAAATGTAGCATGAACTGATGGCTTCCGGAGTTAGAATCGTCGGAGTTGGTAACATTGGAGAAACGCCGGCGGAAGTAGAAAGAGAAGAAGGCCATGAATAATTTAATCCACATATTCACTGTAACTCCTCAATTGCAACTTGCAACTTTTGGGCCCACAAATTTGTGGTGGGCGTTAATTTAATCCACATATTCACTGTAAACAATAATTGAAATCGATCTCTGTTCATCGAATTTATCAACATCTCTTGATAATTGAAATCATTCTCTCTTCATCCATTTCATCCACCTCTATATTATATTCTCTGCTCTTGGCATAAACAATGGCTGAAATCGTTCTTTCTGCCTTCTTGACAGTGGTCTTTGAAAAACTGGCATCTGAAGCCTTGAAGAAGATTGTTCGCTCCAAAGGAATTGAATCTGAGCTCAAGAAATTGAAGAAGACATTAGACCAAATCCAAGATCTGCTTAACGATGCTTCCCAGAAGGAAGTAACTAATGAAGCTGTTAAAAGATGGCTGAATGATCTCCAACATTTGGCTTATGACATAGACGACCTACTTGATGATCTTGCAACAGAAGCTATTCATCGTGAGTTGACCGAGGAGGGTGGAGCCTCCACCAGTATGGTAAGAAAACTAATCCCAAGTTGTTGCACAAGTTTCTCACAAAGTAATAGGATGCATCCCAAGTTAGATGATATTGCCACCAGGTTACAAGAACTGGTAGAGGCAAAAAATAATCTTGGTTTAAGTGTGATAACATATGAAAAGCCAAAAATTGAAAGATATGAGGCATCTTTGGTAGATGAAAGTGGTATTTTTGGACGTAAAGATGATAAGAAAAAATTGATGGAGAAGCTGTTGGGGGATAAAGATGAATCAGGGAGTCAAAACTTCAGTATCGTGCCCATAGTTGGTATGGGTGGAGTTGGCAAAACAACTCTAGCTAGACTCTTGTATGATGAAAAGAAAGTGAAAGATCACTTTGAACTCAGGGCTTGGGTTTGTGTTTCTGATGAGTTCAGTATTCTCAACATAAGCAAAGTTATCTATCAATCTGTGACCGGGGAAAAGAAAGAGTTTGAAGACTTAAATCTGCTTCAAGAAGCTCTTAGAGGGAAACTACAGAACAAACTATTTCTAATAGTTTTGGATGATGTATGGTCGGAAAGCTATGGTGATTGGGAGAAATTAGTGGGCCCATTTCATGCTGGGACTTCTGGAAGTAGAATAATCATGACTACTCGGAAGGAGCAATTACTCAAACAGTTGGGTTTTTCTCATCAAGATCCTCTGTGTTGTATAGATTCCCTGCAACGTCTATCACAAGATGATGCTTTGTCTTTGTTTGCTCAACACGCATTGGGTGTAGCTAACTTTGATTCACATCCAACACTAAGGCCATATGGGGAACAGTTTGTGAAAAAATGTGGGGGCTTGCCTTTGGCTTTAAGAATCCTTGGGAGGTTATTGATGACAAAAACAGACGAGGAAGAATGGAAATATCTGTTGGATAGTGAGATATGGAGTTTAGGAAATGAAGATAAGATTGTTCCTGTTCTTAGACTAAGCTACAATGATCTTTCTGCCACTTTGAAGTTGTTGTTTGCATACTGCTCTTTGTTCCCCAAGGACTATGTGTTTGACAAAGAGGAGTTGGTTCTGCTCTGGATGGCGGAAGGGTTTTTGCAACACTCTGCTGCAAGAAAATCAATGCAACAGTGGGGTCAGAAATGTTTTGAAGAGTTGCTGTCAAGGTCATTTTTTCAACATGCTCCTAATGACAAATCGTTGTTTGTGATGCATGACCTCCTGAATGACTTGGCCACATTTGTTGCTGGAGACTTTTTTTCAAGGTTAGACATTAAGCAGGAATTGAGGAAGGAAGCTTTGGAAAAGCATCGACATATGTCATTTGTTTGTGAGGATTACATGGTGTACAAAAGGTTCCAGCCATTTAGAGGAGCTAAAAATTTGAGAACATTTTTAGCCTTCTATGTTGGGGTGGTAGAAGATTGGCATAAATTTAACTTATCAAATAAGGTCTTGAATGACTTACTTCAAGAGTTACCATTGTTAAGGGTCCTAAATTTGAGTAATCTTAGCATAAGCGAGGTACCAGAAGTCGTCGGTAGTATGAAGCATTTGCGGTATCTTAATCTATCTGACACTAAAATCACACATTTACCGGAAAATGTCTGCAATCTTTATAATTTACAAACGTTGATTGTTTCCGGCTGTCATGAATTGATTAAGTTGCCCAAGAGCTTCTCAAAGCTTAACAATTTGCAGCATTTTGACATGAGGGGTACTTGGAAGTTGAAGAAGATGCCCTTAGGGATTGGTGAGTTGAAAAGTCTTCAAACACTCTCCAGTGATATTGGCTTAACATTAACTGAGCTTAAGAACTTGCAAAATCTCCCTGGGAAAGTTTGTATTGACGGACTGGGAAATGCAGAAAATGCAGTGGATGCACGTGAGGCGAACTTCTCTCAAAAGAAGTTTAGTGAGTTAGTGTTGAATTGGGGTGATGAGTTTAAAGCTTATGGAACAGGAACACTTGGAAAAGAGGTCCTCAATGAGCTGAAGCCTCATAATGGTACTCTAGAAAAACTCAGAATTGTGTCATATAAGGGTATGGAGTTTCCAAATTGGGTTGGGGATCCCGCCTTTCGTCGGTTAACTATAGTGTCAATAAATGGCTGTGCAGAATGTACATCTCTACCGATGCTTGGGCAGCTACCATCACTGAAGGATCTGTCTATTGGTGGGATGAGTAAGGTGAAGGTTGTAGGTTTGGAGTTTCTTGGGACCGACCTTGCATTTCCTTCACTTGAAACCCTATCATTTTCTAGTATGTCAGGGTGGGAGGAATGGTCAACAAATAGTGGGGCGTTTCCTTGCCTTCAAGAGCTTCAAATTGAAGATTGTCCTAATCTGGTTCAAGTCTCACTTGAAGCGCTACCTTCAGTAAGGGTTCTGAAACTGAGAAAATGTGGTCACTGTGTCTTGAGAAACCTTGTTGATGTAGCTTCATCACTTACCAAGTTGGAAATAAATGATATTTGTCCTAATCTGACTCGGGTCTCTCTTGAAGGACTACCTTCACTAAGGGTTTTAAAGGTAATAAAATGTGGTCATGGTTTGTTGAAAAGCCTGGTTGATGTAGCTTCGACAATCACCAAGTTGAAAATATATAATATTTTAGGGCTTACTGATGAACTGTGGAGAGGTGTTACAGAGTATCTTGGAGCAGTTGAAGAAGTAAGCATCAGAGCGTGTGATGAAATAAGATACTTGTGGGACTCAAAAGCAGAGGCAAGTAAGTTTCTTGTGAATTTAAGGAAGCTGGATGTACAAGACTGTTCAAATTTGGTGAGTTTAGGGGAGAAAGAGAAGGATAACAGTGGGAGCAACCTAACATCTCTTACGACGTTGGAGGTCAGTTCATGTAACAGCTTTGAGCGCTGCAATTGTCCAGATAACATCGAGGATCTGTCGATTTCTGATTGTGATTCAGTTACATCTGTCTCCTTCACAACAGGAGGAGGGCAGAAGCTCAAGTCAGTCTTGTTGATCCACTGCAAGAAACTATTGGAAAAGGAGATCGGAGGAGGAGAGAAGTCTGGGTTGCTTATCAACTCAAACATGCGGATGCTTGAATATGTACATATATATAGTTGGCTAAATCTGAAGTCGATTAATGAATTGAATTGTTTCATTCACCTCACACGGTTGACCATAATAAATTGTTCGAGTATGGAGTCATTTCCTGACCATGAGTTGCCGAATCTCACCTCATTAACACATCTGACAATTCAAATGTGTACAAGTATGGATGCATCCTTTCCTCGTGGGCTTTGGCCTCCAAAACTTTGTTCCCTTAATATAAAAGGGTTGAAGAAGCCCATATCAGAGTGGGGCCCACAGAATTTTCCAACCTCACTTTCTTACCTAAATTTATGTGACGGACCATATGATAACATGAAAAGCTTTGATCAATTGTCACATCTTTTTCCTCCATCTCTTACTCATCTTCACATAGAAGAATTTGAGAAGCTGGAATCGGTTTCAAGGGGACTCCAACGCCTCACCTCCCTCCAACATCTCTTCATTTGGAATTGCCCAAAGACGATAGATCTGCCAGAAAAGTTGTTGCCTTCACTTCTGGCTTTGATAATATCCAAATGCCCAAATCTGAAGGAAAGAATTAGCAAAGGAGGCTCCTATTGGCCCCATGTCTCCCTTATCCCCTGCGTTGAGACAAGCTCAATCTGAAGGTACCCCCCTCTCTGTGCCTTTGACTTCATTTAGTTTCATTATGTGCAAACTGAACAACTGATTTGCTCATTCAAACAAATATAATCTCTATACAAGTATGTATTTCCTCAATAATAGTGTTTGTGTCTGCGTCTTTGGTTAACATAAATATGCTTACTGATTTTTGGATTTTACTGTGCTCCTTTTGTTTGTTTATGAATATGACTAGGGAAGGTTGATCACCATGAATAGCAAAATGAATCAAAATGGTTAACAAGTCAAATACTTTGAAATCAAAATAACTATTAGATTTATTTGAACTAGGATTGGTTGTAGAATTATCATTATTTGTTAAAGTTGGAATACAACTTAATTATGAAATCATGATTATAATAGTAATTTAATAAAGATTAGACAAATCGATACAAATATTTATAAATAATGAATATATTTGAAGATGTATCATCTAATTAAGAACTACCAGGGTTGTACCCATGTTACAACCCAAATTATTAGTTGTCTAACAAGTGATGCATTTGACCCATGATTAACGCTAATGGATTTTTGATTAAATAGCTGCATTTTCACACCATTAATTCTTAAAAAAATGATTCTGTATATTAGTGAAACTGTTGTGAACATATTTTTCTTGATCACATTTGTCAAATTTATTTTGACAGTATCTGATTTAAATTCATGGCTTATTTATTGAGTTCAAATGTAGTTTTCTCACTCTTTCACACTTACAGCCAAGCAATCAAAATTGAAAGGTTGGTGGATGCAATGAATTTTAAAAAGCATCAGACGAAATAAAAGATCAGAAATTGATGGCTTTCAAAGGAAGACATTTATATTGTGCTGCTTATGGTTTACAAGGTTTGTTCCTAACAGATTCACAAATGCTCATGTAGCCAATGATTTCCAAATTTTTACTCCAGATTTTCTTGTTCTATATTTGTTCCAAAAGGAATATTGATGTACAGGTGAATGACTTACTTTCCAAAAATCATCCATGGAAGTGTAGAACTCCTTCTGATGATCGAAGCTGTGAAGCTTCAATGCTTTATATGTGTAGCATCTTTTCAATCATTCAAACTATACGCTGTAAAGGTATACTTTTATCTCATTGTCAAGTGGAATACCTAATTTCTAAAGTCAAACTCTATTATAAGGTTTATTTTTGGATATTTACTTGTTTTGTAGAGTTGATTGAACCCAAAGAGAAAGAGAAGTTCTGGTTTTCATCAAGAGACATACTATGAAGCATGGTCAAGGAATCATTAACAACACAGTTTTCTGTTTGGAAGGAATATGTTTGAGAGTTACATTGAAAAACATAACAAAAACAGAGAATTCCATCTGCTGTTCCTAAGAAAATGAAAAGAGGCCCTGTAAATTTGACTTTCGTTGGATAACTAGCTTTGAATTTTTGTCTGTTTCCACTCTAGATTGTTGTATATTTTCTTTGGACAAACTAACTTCCATATTTACAAATAATATTTGATTGACGCCTAATGATACTACTATTCTAAGATTATTGTAGACACCAGATTGCTGTTTAATTGGGAGTGATGTCATTTGGAGACTTCCACCTGTAAAACAACAATCCTTTTTGTGGTGAATAAGACAGATTATATTAACACCACATTTGTTTGCCTGGAAAGACTATGTTTGATGCTTAGTTATTATTCTTAACATTATGTTTTAAAGTCTGAAAAATTGCATAAATTAACAACAAACGTTTGTTCAGCTTTGAATATTTACTCAAATTAGAGCGCCATTGAACATAACTAGGCT